CCCCTTGGAGGGGAGCGGGTTGAGCTTTCCTCCCTGCCCCGACCAGGGCTCCGGCAGCCGAAGACCTCCAGGACCAGCCACCACCATGCTGAGACCACTCTCCGCACACATGAAGGTACTGGCAGAGGGACAAATCCACGCGGGTTCCGGGGCCGAGATCTCCCAGCCTACTCGGATTGGAGTCGAGCATCCTCCACCCAGATCCTCCAAATTCCAGTAGGCGGGGGTCACACCCACCACCTGGCCCCCTGGCGCCGTGTAATCCCATCAGCGGCCAAGACTCAGAGACTATAAAATCCAGATCCCGGAACCGCGCGGCCGCATTTGCGGCCGCGCAACATCTTATCAGAACTTTTCTTTATGACATCTTATTATCTCATTCCTACTTTGGACAAACTTTCAGGCTATCGAATGTAGCCTGACCACAGGGCAGAGTCTGGCAAACTCCCCGTGGCCTACCAAATATGCCAAATACCAGTAACAATGATGGGTCTCATTCTCCTAAAGAGCCTTGAATATAATCTCAGGGCTAGGATGAAAGAGACGTTACTGGGGCCTGCTCGAGGCAATCGACGAATAACAGGATGATGAATGAAATGAATGAATGTTCTTTTTTGTGGGGTAGGGTCCAGACCCAGCTGTTCTTGGGGCTGCCTCCTGACTGCACTCACTCCTGGAGGAAGTGGAGGCCAACACGGGGTGCCGAGACTGAACCCGGGCTGTGCATGTGCAAGACAGACGTCCCACCCCCCACCCACCCTACTATCGCTCTAGCCCTACCTTCTCACTCACTGAATGCATCAGACACCCTCCAATTCCATCTAAGTTTAGCAAACAGTTGAATAATATTCTCCTTTATTCAACAATAATAATATTCGACAATATTAATATTATTCAACTTTATTCAACAATAATTTTTAACATTAATATTATTCAACTTGCAGTTGGACAATATTTCATTTTGTATATAGAGCACAACATCTCTATTTGGGTGGGGGGCAGTCACATAGGTGGTGGGAAGAGGGGCCACTTGTGGCTCTGTGCTCAGGGCTGACTCCCGACTCTGTGCTCAGGGCAGACTCCCGGCAGTGATGGGGACCATATATGGTGCCAGGAATTGAACTTGGGTCTGCCACATGCAAGGCAAATGCCTCCCTGCTGCACTATCGCTCAGGGCCTGCCTCTCTCTCTCCTCCCCCACTCCCCCTCCAGCTAACCCGAACTGCCGGGAGCACGAAACCGTTGCCTGCATTTACTGGAGGGAGACGAAGCTTGCATGGCCTGTGTGGTCACTTGCCTGTTGACCATGCCCTGGCCCCCAAGCCTGCCCCTCTGCATGAATCCCAGCGCCCTGGTTCCACCCTCCAGCCCCGCATGCAGCAGCCCAGGATACCACACGTCTCAGACATAATTCTCTGAATAAAATGCAGAGACAGGCCACTAATCCCCAGCTCTGCATTCCTCACTGGCCCGCCACTGCTCTGGCGTGATGATGAATACACTGAGCGGCCTGAGACCCTTTCAGTATCCTGTCGCTCCAGCTTCCCATCCAGCCAGGACCGCCTGACACTTTCCTTCCTGTGACTGACCCTCTGCTGTCTAAACACCCACTGGGCTCTCTCCATTGGGGGCTTTTTTCCCCAATAACTTTACTTTTTTGCTTTTTGGGTCACACCCGGCGATGCTCAGGGGTTCCTCCTGGCTCTGCACACAGAAATCACTCCTGGCGGTGCTCAGGGGACCGTATGGGGTGCTGGGAATCGAACCTGGGTCGGCAATGTGCAAGGCAAATGCCCTACCCGCTGTGCTATCTCTCCAGCCCCCCCCCCCCCAATAGCTTTATTAAGCTGAGAGTTTAGTTACAGACATCCAATCCCACCACCACTGCACCTTCCCACTACCTTTCTTTCCAACTTTTCCCAACCACCCCTTAAGCCTGCCCTCATAGCGTGCCCTCAATAATTTATTTTACATTGCTTGTTATCGATAGTGTGCTAAGGGGATGATCAAAAAAAAAATGTTTCCGTAGAAGAAAGTGAGTGAAGATTGTTGCATCTCACCATGGAGCCATTAGCTCTAGTGCAAGATGCTGAGACAGGTTGAGCCTTCCGTGTTTCAATTTTGTTCGTGGAGACTGGTTGCCTTCTGCATTACAACCCGTCCAATCTGGTGTGCTACTCCCGGATTGTCAGTGTTCTAGGGTTTGAGACGTGGCGTGGTCAAAATTTTGGCCGTGTGCTTTTAGGGTATCCGAAATTTCTAATGGAGTGATACGAACGGAGTTAACTTATTAGCTGACTGGTGGCTCTGGGGCGTGTGGGACTGCCAGGCTTCTGCAAGCACAGGGAGGTGGGGGGAGGCCGCCCATCTCCGACCCCCTCAAAGCTGGAGATTTCAGATGATCTGGTGCTCTGTGGACATGCCCCTCTATGCTGAGGGCCTCCAGGTCGTCCAAGCACTGCCCAAGGAGTCATGGGGTGCCACGGGTCAAACTCTGGGCCTCACATATGCCAACCCTGCACTCTAGCCGTTGGCATTAGAAAAATGTTCCCAGCCTTTTTCCTTCTCTCTCATCCCAGTCTCTTGCTGCAGGGCCTACGGCCCTTGGGCTTCTGGGACAGGCTTCCTTGGCCTGCAGCCAGAATGTCACCAGAATTGTTAGATAACAAGAGGAGGCAAGGACACTCACGCGTTTCATTGAGGTGAGGGGCTGCTAGTTTTTGGAGACGAACAGTGCAGAGCTGTCAGTCTCCAGGGAGGGAACGATAGTGCAACAGGGAGGGTGTTTGCCTTGCACTTGGCCAACCTGGGTTCGATCCCCAGCATCCCCTACAGTCCCCTGAGTACCACGAGGGGTGCAAGAGCCAGGAGGAACCCCTGAACATTACCTGGTGTGACCCCCCCGCAACCCTGCCAAAAGAAACAGCTTCTGTTCTCCCTGCCGACACAGATGCAGCCAGCCCAGGCGCTGACCTCTGCTTCCAGGCTGAAGTGGACACAGGAACCACCCAAGTCACAGGTGCCCGGTACAGATGGGGAGACTGCGTGTGAAGTGGGGGTACCAGCAGTGTCTGTTCCCCACCCAGGCTGACCACCACGTGCGGCGTCTCGGGACAGGGCTCATCCCAGCACCGCCGGCCCCGCTGTCTCATCTCGGACACACGCAGGAGTTACACGCCTGAACCTGCAAGGCCGCAGGGTGATGATCCTGATAGAGCCGCGGCCACCATGTGTGTGTGTGTGTGGGGGGGGGGAAGATGGAGGGGGGTAGGGCCCCAGAAGGGGGTCCAGAGGCTGGGGCTTGTCTCTCCCACTGGCCCAGACGCCTGCTCTGGGGGCGGGAGAAGCAGGGGGCAGCCGTGCCCCCCACCATGTGATTTTATGGACGAGCTTTGAAGATGGAGTGTAGAAGGGTGTGCAGGGCTTGCTGTGGATTCCACGCCTGTGTCCCCCAAAGGCCAGGTGGCCCTTTGGGGGGGTGGTGTTTCTGGCCACCCGTGTAGCACGCCTGTGCTCCAGCCCTGAGACAGGGTCGCTGCCTGTGTGGACATTGTGACCTTTCACATGGGGAGTCCTTGGGTGGGGCTGGGGGACAGACAGGGAGGACCGTACTGAACGGAGCTCCCAGCCTCATCAGAGATGCAAGGGCGGGCCCGGGCGCTGCCCCTTGTGGGAACAAGGCGCGAACAGCCCCGGGCCTGCCCAGTTGGCACCACACCAGCCGCCCAACACCGTCCTTATTTGATCCTGGCACTGCTGGGGCATTGCTTTAGCTTCTTGGGGAAGAGCCTGACACCACAGACAAAAATATTACTGGGAGAAAAATGACTGAAACAATGAGCCAACATACACACGGGGGCCACGAGCAGTTCCTGAGTGCCACGGGCCGCGTCCCAGGACACAGCCTGGTGTGGGGGTCTGTGGCACCAGCCCTATTTCACAGCTGGTGGGAGTGTCCAGAGAGGCCGGGTGGCCTGCCCAGGGCCCCACAACTGGGCAGTGGGACCGGGTCTCGTCAGCCCATTACACATTAGGCTGGTATGAGCAGAACCCAAAATAGAAAAAAATAATACTGGGTCTGTCAATAATATTGGAGATAGCACGCGGGTGGGGGGTGCGGTTAAGGTGCTTGCCTTGCACATGGCTGACCCGGGTTCGATCCCTGGCACTCTACATGGTTCCCTCCAAGCCCCCCCCAGAGTGACGTCTGAGCACAGAACCAGGAGTCAGCCCTGAACACCTCCGGGTGTGGCCCCAAAAATAAACCCAAGGATGGTTTACAAGTGACCCGGAGGGTCCCTGCACCGGACCCCTAAGTCCTGGGGAGTGTGAGGTGGAGAGAGAACCTGGGGGGGACGCAGGGTCTGGGGGCCTGAGGGACTGACAGGAAGGACAGCTACGCCCCCAGCCCTGTCCTTGGTCCTTGAACCCAAGACCCTGGGGGTGGCAGCGGGTGGGGCTGGAGACCCCCAGAGGCACCAGAAACCAGGTGTCTCCCGAGGACAGGGCGGTGGGGAGGAAGCGTGTGGCCTGTGAAGGGACATCCTGTGGTCAGAGTCGGGGGCGGAAGAGGAACGGGGCAGCCAAGCGCAGGGAGAGAGAAGGGAGATGGGCCTGGAGGATAACCTGGGTCTCGAACCCGAGGTCTCCCAGGCGCAAGGCCAGAGCACTGCCACTGAGCCTCATGCTGACTCCCACTGTGTCCCCTGGCTGAAAGCGCTCTGCGGGGGCCCCATTACCCCCTCAGCAGCTGCTTCTCAGTTCCCACATGGGGCCACGTACCCAAAGCCACATGGTCCCTGCAAACCCCGACGCACAGGGTGAGATGACCCCCTGCCCCAAACCCCTCGGGCCCGTGCATGGCTTCCCTCCAGCCCCCAGGCTCCAGACCAGTCACGGGGCTTCTGCAGGCAGCACCCAGGAAGTGTTGGGGGCAGGGGGTGGGTGCTTCCTGCAGGGACGAACCCGTGCATTTAAGACACCAAGCACCCCGTGAGCAGGGCCCCTTCAGGCGGGAGTAAGGCGCCAAGCCAGGCACTGTTTTGTCCAAAAGGAGCACTTTACTCGGTGCGCCAGGTCTGTCAGAGTCAGCCACGTCAGCGGGTTCTCCTCAGCCATCCTTTCCACATTTTGTGCATCTTTAGGGAGCTATATACCAGGGACTTTTTTATGCCTGGAAGAGAAGACAAGAGACCGTGAGGGCCCCAAGGGTGACTGGGTGGAGGCACATCTGTCTGGAGCCCAGGGATGAGAGACGGGCTGACAGGCCTGACAGGGTCTGAGGGGATGCCCCGAGTGAAAGTGGTGCCAGGTCCCTGGGAGGCAGGAGAGGCGGGAAGGAGGGACAGGGCTGAGACTGTGTGTGCCACATCCTGGCCTCAGGTCCTTCTGGCCACGTGTCCCGGGTCTCCTGATGCTGCAAAGCCACCAGCCACTTCCCTGTCATGCCTGTGTGGATTCCAGGTCCCCTTCTTGACTTCTCCCTGGACTCCCCCGTCCATTCAGGGCCTACTTACTCTCCCCAGGCACCCTGTGAGGCACTTCTGAGACACCCCCTGAGTCACCCCTGTGAGAGACACATCTGAGATACCTACTGAGTCACTCCTGTGAGAGACATCCCTGGGAGAGACCCCTTGTGAGAGACATTTCCTGTGAAAAATACCCTGTGAAAGATATCCCTGTATGAGAAACCCCCGTGAGAGAGACAGCCGGTGAGAGACATTCCCTGGTGAGACACATCCCCGGTGAGACATCCTTGGTGAGAGACACCCCTGAGTGAGAGAAACCCTGTGAGAGACATTCCAGAGAGAGACATCCTGGTGAGAAACACCCCGCTAAGAGACACCCCCGTGTGAGAGACACCCGTGAGAGACAACCCTGTGTGAGAGACATCTTGTTGGAGACACTCCTATGTGAGATATCCTGGTGAGAGACATTCTGGTGAGAGACATCCTCAGTGAGAGACACCCTGTGAAAGACATCCTGGTGAGAGATACCCTGGTAAGTGACATCCCCGTGTGAGAGACACCCCGTGACAGACATCTCAGGGAGAGGCGCCCGGCAGTGCAGGTTGGCCAGCGCTACAATTAGCTGACAGGATTAGTCTGGAGACTTCCTGCCAGGTGTGCCCTCTCTGGGGACCACCACTGCCTGTACGTGGCCTGTCCTCTCAGCAACTGGAGGCGCCAGGGGGCTGGGGGCAGCTCACGCAGGGTGGACTTTGCCCACAGACGCTGCCCGTTCCGGTTTCTCTCCGGGGCTACCACTCCATGTCGCTCGCCCATGGAAGCCGTGTTACGGTGTTATGTAAGCTGCTTTTTTGAAACTCCAGCCAAAACCAGTCAGGAGAGCAGGCGGCACCCAGGGGTGAACAGAGCCTCTGGGCTCTGAGTCACAGCCACCCGGGGAAGGGCCGCGCCCAGGCGCTTCCAGGACACAGCTGTCCCGACCCGAGCAGCCTCTGGGGCGACGATGCCCAGGCTCAGGTGGCCAGTGGGCACCTGGCAGGAAGGCTGGCTCTTATCTTGGGGGTCCACACACATCCCTGGGGTGGTGTGAGTATCCCTAAGTCCAGGCCAGGGTTGCTCAGAGAGGACAGCCGATGAGACGGTCCTTCCCGTCCTCCCTTTCCGTTGGTGACAATGTGCCCACAGGGGGCAAAACTTCCCACACCTGGGGCCAGAGCGGTATCACAGCAGGTAGGGCGTTTTGCCTTGCACGAGGCCGACCTGGGTTCGATCCCCGGCATCCCATAGGGTCCCCTGAGCATCGCCAGGAGTAATTCCTGAGTGCAGAGCCAGGAGAAACCCTTGTGCAGCCCCAGGTGACACAAAAAGCAAAAAAAAGCAAAAAAAAGCAAAAAAAACCAAAAAAAAAAAAAAAACCAAACAACTTCCCACACCAGACAACAAAGTCGCTAGGCATGAGGGGCAGAGTGGAGAGACGAAGCCCATGGCAGGCGGCAAGCAAACGGGCCACACAGGCTCTCACATGCCAGACACGCCAGGAACCAGCGCCCAAGCTTCTCAGTCACAGGGAAACGGCAGCGAGAGCTGCCCGAGGGCTCGCCCACAGGCCACAGGGTGCAGCTGGGTACTGGGGGGAGGGACGATGGTCCAGACGAGGCCCCCGAGGCCGGACATTCATGCACCGTGTGAGCCGGTGAGGTCAGCCCAGAGTGACGCCCCATGTAAGGAGGGTCTCTGAGGCAGGTGCCTGGCCTCTGGCGTGTGTCCACGGAGAAGCCCAGGCCAGGCCACCAGAGAGGGAGCCACGGGGGGCCGGGCTGTGAGGAGCCCCAGTCCTGGCCCCAGGACGGAGCAGGAGAGACAGAATCTGGTGCTCCTCTGATAGCCCATGGCAGGCACTGCGACTGTACCAATGTCCACCCTCCCAGGGGGGACCCATGTCTCCATCAGAGGCCTTGGGGACCACGGGAGATGGGCCCAGCACTGTGGGGGCAAGAGGGTCTGGCTCTGCCCCAGGATGCAGTGGGAGGGCACAGGGTGAGGCCAAGCTCTCCTCTCCTGACTTCCGGCTCCAGACCCTGGGGGCACCCCCAGGCACTAGGAGTGGGGGGAGGGGGCTCCATTTCCTCCATCACCTCACTGAAAGTGGAGGGGTCAAGCTCAGCTGTTCCCCAGAGCTGATGTGCAAAAGCAGGCAGGGACCCCCATTTGCTGCAGGGCCGGGACCCCGTCCGCTGCGGGCGCTCCTCTGCGGTGCCGTCGGGCTCTGCCCTGCACCACTAGTCAGAGCGGGAGAAGCAGCAGCTGTGGGTCCCCAAGCCGAGTCAGAGACCCCTTGTCTGTGGGGCCGAGCGGAGCCCAGCGCAGTCCCGGGGCTCTGGAAACCGGGGGGCACCGAGCCCTCGGCACGTGAGGATCAGAGCCGGGACCGGAACGGGAGGCGGCTTTCCCACCCACCCGGGTGAGGGGCGCCCGCCCGCCTCAGAGGCCCTGGACGGCACTGGGGCAGCAGCGCGGGCACAAGTGGGGGCTGGACACTGGTGGACACACCCCGTCCCCTGCTACGGCTCAGACTTTTCTAGTGCTGGACACCCACCCCTGCCCCTGGGAGAACTCTCTGGAAGGGCCAGTGCGGTCCTGCACAGACGCCGGGAAACCAGGGGGGACTCTGGGCCTCTTCTGGACAGCAAAAGGCGAGCAGGAAGGGGACACGGCCACAGCCCTCCTCAGCCCCCGGCCAGCCCGGCTGGTCCCAAGGCCGCCCGCCGACAGCCTGGCGATGCCTGTCATCCTGCCGGCACCACCCTGAGGGGGGAGGTAAAAAACAACCACCGGCAACATCACCGTTTTCACAAAAAAAGAGAAGGCTCGGCAGGGGGCCCTGCCCGGCACCGCAGAGGGTCCGAGTCCTGCCACCGGGAGTGACCCGGCGCTTCTGTGCGGCCCAGAAGGACGCAGGATGACAAAGGAACGTCACGACGGAACGGAGAGAAAGCAGCCGCAGGGCCAGCACGTGGGGACTCGGACGGCAGCTGCGGCCGGACACCAGGCACACCCCACCCCTACACCCCTACACACACTGTGCCACCCCCATGGACTGCACGCCACATGTCCGTATACAGACACACAGACTGACACCACATTCCACACCCCACCTCTACACATCCCACACCAACCACTCCCTACACCCCCACACCACACCCCTACACACCCAGACGGCACACCACCCCTACACGCCCCACACCCCACACCTCCATACCATATCCCTACACCCCCACACCACACCCCTACACCCCCCACCATACCCCTACACCCCATACCACATCCCTACACCCCACCCCACCACACCCCTACATCCCACACCACACCCTTACACACCCAGACTGCACGCTACACCCCTATATACCCAGACTGCATACCACACCCCTACACAACCACACCACACCCTACACACCCACACCACACCCCTACACACCCCCACACCACACCCCTGCACTAGCCCCCCGCGTATACCTCCCCACCGACTACATACACCACATATACCATACACTGCACATACCATACACACATATCACACACATACATCACACACCCATTACACATACACTCTATACCTGACACATAGCACACATACAAACACATATCATATACCAGACACGCCACACACAGATGCACACACATGCACCAGACAAACCACACAAAATACACTACACCCACCACATACACTATACGCCACACATCGTATACAACACACACTAGACAGCGCAGACACATTCCACGCATACAGACATGCACACACTAGACACCACAGACATCCCACCAGAAACACCACACACGTACAGACACCCAAACGCTACACACCACACATCACTCAAACAGACACACAGGCAGATGCACACACATGCACCAGACATATCACACACAATACAACACACAATACTCCAGATACACCACACGTTCACTATCTACCAGACACAGCATACACACACATACACCATATAATACAAACAGAGCACACACATACCACACGTAGACATACACATACTATGCACCATTGACATATCAGACATCACACACACACACACACACAATACACCACTGACACATATCACACAACAGAAACGTACATACACTATACATCAGACACAACACACAAACACACACGCATAGTGCACAGCTTTCAGACACATGTGGTCTGAACCTGTTCCTCAGGGAGCCAGAGGGTCCCCAAGCAGCAGGCGAGCGCCCTAGGGACACCACAGCCATGGTCAAACCCCGCCCACTCTGGCTGACTACAGAAGCAGAGAGACCACAGACTGGGAGGGAGGGGTGCGGCGAGTAGGCCCGCCCCACCACGCGCAGGAAGCCCCCAGCAGAGCAGCTGCCTCGTGTGCTGATCATCCGACCCGCCCCTGAGCAGGAGAAGCAGGGATGGCGCTGACCTGCCCCAAGGCCGACCCAGGGCCCTCGCAGTGGGCCACACCCCACCCAGCGCCCTCAGGGTCAGCCATGTCCCATCTCACATCTCACTCCCATCTCAGCGGCCTCACAGTGGCAGCAGAGAGGGAGGGTCAGCACAGAGGGAGGGTGGAGGTGGCTCTGGGTCTCACCTGCCGTGAGGATGCCTTTGGCGCTCTGCTTCATGCTGGACGGCCTCACTATGGCCGAGAGCCCTGTGGGGGGGAACGGCAGAGGCAGAGGTCAGCCACTGACCAACACTCACAGACCCACCCTGTGTTCTTCCCAGCGAGGTGGCCTGCAGGATGCAGAGGGACTGGGAGGTGGGAGGTGCCAGCGGGGCCACTGGCCAGCTCAGGCAGGCGATGGACCTTCAGGCGGGGAGGGGGGCTTAGGTCACCCCCACGGTGCTTATGATTTTGTTCTGGGGAGCTGGGTCACAGCTGGTGGTGTCTGGGGGGAGGGGATGGGATGTCCACTCTGTGATGTGGGGATCAAAACCCGGGTTGGCCATGGGCTGGGCCGTGTCTGTCTCGCTCTCCAGTCCCATCTCACGATCATGATCATGATCGTCCTGTTGTTCGTCGATTGCCTGGAGCAGGCCCCAGTAACGTCTCCTTTGTCCTAGCCCTGAGATTTTAAAGTGCCATATTCAAGGCCCTTTCAGGGTTAGGAGAATGAGACCCATCATTGTTACTGGCATTTGGCATATTGGGTACGCCACGGGGAGTTTGCCAGACTCTGCCGTGTGGGCAGGTTACATTCGGTAGCCTGCCAGGTTTTCGGATGTACTAAGTTTAAAATTATACATGTATGTAGACAAGTTCAAGGTAGAAGTCTAGGCTGGAGAGGTAAAAGCTGGCATTCTCAAAGCTAGAGAGACAGTACAGAGGGCAAGGAGTTGCCTTGCATACGGCTGACCATGGTTTGGTCCCTGGCATTCCATATGATTCTCAGAGCCCCACCAGGAGCCCCATCTCATGATTTAAAAATATGAGGAGAGAATACGGCAGGCAGGACTCTTGCCCTGGTGTCCCAGAAGGACCCCCGAGCCCTGCCTGGAGTAATCCTGAATGTCTGGAGTGCAGAGCCAGGAGTAACCCCCGAGACTCGCCCGGCTGGGTGTGGCCCCAAACTAAACAAACAGCTAAACATTTTTACGACATGCGTTTCAGGTTGCTGGTTCCTAGAAAGAAAAGCTGACGCTTCTGCCGGAGAGAAACACTCTCTGGAACCCCTCAGAGAAGCGTCGGGGGTGTTGCTCCCACACTCCAAAGCAGGGTCAGCGCCGGGCGCGGTGGCACGTGGCGTCTGACCACGCAGCCGTCACCACAGAGGCGGGGCTGGCAATGAGCGTGTGCCATTGGCCTTGGCAGTGTGAGTCCGTCCATCTCAGACACTTCCCGGGGCTGGATCCTGGGCTGTTCACGCCCACCTCTGGGGAAGATGGTTCTGGGGCTCCGGTCAGCGTCATGGCAGAGGGGTGCGGATGGACACAGGCTACCCTACAGGGCCCACAGGTGACTCTTGGGGGAGTTGCAGGGCAGAGCAGAGCCCCTTCTTGGCGTGCCCTGAGCGATGCCACAGCTCTGCGCGGAAGCTTCTAGAAGTTAGGCCCTGGGGACCCCAAGAAACACGGTTTCTTCCTGAACATGGGTGGGGGGGCCTGAGAGCCGAGAACAGAAGCTCTGGCCCCTCTTTCCTGAGGGGCAGGCAGGTTGGCGGGAGAGAGAGGCCCGGCCTCTGTCTGCAGCCTCCATTCCCCGAGGCCTCCCGCCCTCCCCCTGCGCAGGCCAGCCACACACCTACCTAGGCGCACCACATCACCGCAGTCAGGGTCATGGGCCACTTGGAGCAGCGTCTCTTCCACGTCTCGGTTCTTCCCGGGAGGGTCCATGAGGAAGTTGATCCGTTGCTGCAAGGCCCGGGGCAGGGTCATCAGCTGTGTGAACTGACCTTCTGGGCTCTTGTCTATCTGAGGGAAGAGAACAGCTGAGGCATCCGGCTCCCGACTCACGGAAACACGAGGCGTGGCTTCTGCTTTGGTTGTTCTGGGGCCACACCCGGAGGTGCTCAGGGATCACTCCTGGCGGTGCTCGGGAGACCCTATGGGATGCGGGGGATCAAACCCAGGTCGGCTGCGTGCAAGGCCAGGCCCTCCCTGCTGTACTATCGCTCCAGCCCCAGAGAATGAAATTTTTACAGACTCCTCTGAAGCCTGCCGGCCTGCCAAGTTCAGAATCAGTACCACGACCCTCAGCAACCCACCACATTCTCTTCCAAGTAAGAATTTGTCTTTCTTCTTTCAACAAATGTTTGTGTTTGAGCTTTAATTCAGAAAATAGAAAGGAAAAACATTAGACATATGGATGTACTAAATTTTAGATTCTGATTTTTCCAGAGACAACCAACTGTTTTTTTTTATTAAACGGAATTCACTCATTCTTCTACGATTTTATTTAACAAAAACTGCACAACACTAGTTCGTCCCTGAGCAAAGTAAGGCTGGTATGTGCAGTCACACTGACAGAAGGGAAGGTTTTATTTTATTTATTTTATTTTTATTTTTTTTTTGCTTTTTGGGTCATACCCGGCAATGCACAGGGGTTCCTCCCGGCTCTGTGATTAGGAATTACCCCTGGCAGTGCTCAGGGGTCCATATGGGATGCTGGGAATCGAACCCGGGTTGGCCGTGTGCAAGGCAAATGCCCTCCCCGCTGTGCTATCACTCCAGCCCTAAATTTGGTCATTCGTAGACAAACAAAACACACAAAGAAACTGGAAAGAGGTGGGAAAAAAAGAAAACTCCAGGAGTTCCAGACAGAGCTAAGCAAATGGATTCTAAGAAGTAATCTGTGTGTGTGTGTGGGGGGGGGGTTGGGGGGGAAAGCAGAGGGGAGGGACTCAGGGACTTGCCCTGCACACAGCAGCCTCCAGTTCAATTCCCAGCACATCTGATCCTCCAAACATCACCAGGAGTGACCCCCAAGCACAGACCCAGGAGTCAGTCCTGAGCACTGCCAGAACAGACCAAACTCTATCACACAAAGAAGTCATTCCAAGGGCCACAGAGAGTCCAGCGGGTTGTTTATCCAGGCATAGAGGAGGCCCCGGATCCATTCCCGGCATCATATGGTACCCTAAGCACCAGAAGAGCAACGTCTGAGGGGCTGGAGCGATAGCACAGCGGGCAGGGCATTTGCCTTACATGCGGCTGACTCAGGTTCGATTCCCAGCACCCCATATGGTCCCCTGAGCACTGCCAGGAGTAATTCCTGAGTGCAGAGCCAGGAGTAACCCCTGTGCATCGCCGGGTGTGAACCCAAAAAGCAAAAAAAGTAACCTCTGAACCAGGAGTAGCCCCTGAGTACCAAACAAATGAATGAAACGCTTTGGGCCAAGGGGCCAGAGAGTACAGTGGGTAGGGCATTTGCCTGCACACGGTCAACCCAGGTTCCATCCCTGGCATTTTATATGATGTCTGCCAGGAGTCTGCTAGGAGTGAGTCCCTGAGTGTAGAGCCAGGAGTAAGCCCTGATCACCACTGGGGGTGACCCCTAAAACAAAAATGAAACCAAACCCGATCAACCACCATCCTTGGGCCAGAGAGACAGCTGAGGAGCTGAGCTCATGCTGGGCGTACGGGCGGCCTGAGTGTTTCTGCTCTCACAGGGGTCCCTGGGGACCACCAGGAGTGACCCTCGAGCACTGCCAGGTGCAGCCCAAGCCCTTTTCCCCCAAAAAAACTTAAAAAGAGAAAATAATCCTAAACCCACATTACTTTTCTTTGACTTCAAAGGAAATGTTCTTTTCTTTTCAAATACTTAATATTATTGGAAAAAAGGCCTTGGAAGCTTCTCTAGTGAAGGCTCCAAACATCATAGATATAACAAGTTGGGGGAAACAGATTTCAGATTAAAAAGCACGTCTGAGCTCATTCATGAAAAAACAAGAAACAAGAAAGACCAACATCCCCCTGGCCTGTGCCATCCAGGTGTGGCAGAATGACCCGGAAGAGCATGTGCCGAGGTCAGGCGAGCAGGGCTGGGAGGGCAGGAGGCCATGGGCAGGGCCAGCATGTCCACAGGCCAAGTGAAGCTTCTGTTCAGCATCACCCAGACAAGGCAGATGTTTCCTGGTCACACTCCCGTGTGCAGGGGCCCCGTGGCCTCCCCTCCCGCCCTGCTCCCGCCTCAGGGACATGTACACACCCTGTGCCCATGAGTCCCAGGCAGCCAGCTAAAGCAGCACGCAGCTCTGCACTGATGGGGACTGTCCCCGTGCGGGTGGTCCGCGTCCCCACAGCAGCCCTCACCTCCAGCCGGCCCTGCTGCATCTTGTACACCACCTGGGGGCTTTGCTGCAGGACGCCGCCGTACAGCTCCCGGAAGTGGCCGATGTTGGGCTTCACGATGTTGGCCACTTTGCTCTTGTCCTCGCCGACCACCATCCGGAAGTCCCCTGGCGGGAGGAGCACAAGTAGAGTCCAGCGGCCCCCCGGGAGCCCCTCTGCTGTAGGCCCTAAAGACAGCTGGAGCACCAGCCGCAGCCGTCCAGGCGCGGGGACAAACGCGCCCAGCACATGGGGACAAATGTGCCCTGCTGGCTGGGACCAGGAGACGAGGCTGCTGCCTTCCCTGGCCCACAGGCTGAGGGAGAAACGAGGAACATCACCCAGCAGGGACCACAGATGACAGCTGGGAACAGAGGGGCCCGGTGGAAAATGAGCGTCGGGGCAGACCACCGAAACAGCAGTGGGGGTCCTGGAAATCTGGAATATTCTCAGGGCTCAGAAGTTCTGCCCAGCTGCCAAAGGGGCAGTTGTAGCTACAGGACACGACACCGTCTTTCGCTCTCTCGCCTCGGGCTAGTCTCACCCTGGAACTTGTGGCCCAGACCCCGCTGCGCCCTCACTAGCGAGCCGGATTCCACCAGATGGGCCAAGACATGGGCCCCAGCAGGGGCCACCAGACGTGTCCTTTCTTTCCCTTTCATTTTTTGAGCCACACGTGGGGGGGACCCCAGCAGAGCTTGGGGGGGCCTGTGGTGTTAGGGCCGGAGCCCGGGCCCCCACATGCATAGCCTGAGCCCAGCTGGCTCAGCTCCCCTCAGGCCCTGGCTTTCCAGCTATGAAGGGGCCTGGAGGAACCTTCTGGAAAGGGTCTCCCACAAGGGCTGGGCCACAGGAGCTGGGCTGAGTCTCAGCAAGAGGGGGACGAGCACCATGTCCTGCCGGAGTGGAGACAAGCTGCTCAGTGACGAAGGTGAACCCAGCCGTCCCCGGCCCAAGACAGGACAGACAGAAGACCCCAGGCTGGGGATGCCCCAGAGGGAAGGCCAGGGGGTTCTCTGCACCGCGGGAACTTCCCTGAACAGGTGCCAAAGCCAACGCAGACACCGGGCGGGCAGGGCGGGCCTGGACCTGGGGGCGGTTCTCGGGGACCCCTGGTGCACCCACCTGCATAGGACAGCCCGGCGATCTCGGTGAAGAGGTCCTCCTCGGAGAAGCTCTCGGGGAGCATGAGGAAGGCCGCGCTCACTGCACTCCGGAGGTTCTTGTCCAGGGCGGAGCGGAGACCCGCGTTCTCGCTTAGGGCCAGGATCTTCACCTGCAGGAGGAGCCAGAACGTCCAGGAAGACACGCCACATGTGAGTCCTGCTCTGGCTCGACGGGACGCAGGCACCAGGCTGCCCTCAGAGCGCCCAGGCCAGGAGAGAAAACGGGACACGCGCACGTCTTGTGTGCTTGATCTCGGGGGCCACGCAACGCCGCTCGGGGACTATTCCCAGGTTCCTCCTGCACGCAAAACTTGGGCCCGGCCCGCTGCCCACCTGGACACGCGTCTTTTTCTTTCTTTGGTGCTGGGACATAGGAACCCTTCCTGGTGGGCGCGGGGACCCTATGAGATGTTGGGGATTGAACCTGGGTTGGCCATGTGCAAGGCAAACACCCTCTCTGCTGTATATGGCTCCGGCCTGCCTTCCACTTCTTTAATTAGAAGTCACCGCTATTCTTGGCCACCTAGAACCCGAGCAGGTGAGGCTTAATTTGGAAACGGGCTCAGCCAAAAGAAAACCGGCCACACTAGAAAGAGTGTGGGGCATGGGGGACGATGGGGGACAATTGCTGAGCCGGCTGGAGAATCTGAGCAGAGGCAAGACGGGTCCCAGGCACTACAGGGGTGGGGGACTGGGGGGGCTTCAGCCAGACACTCCCGCTTGGCAGACCTCAACGAACCTCACGTGAGCTAGTGCGAGGCTGCGGGCGCCCAGGCTGCTCTGGAGAGTGGCCTCAAACTGCACCCTGCCATTTGGGACAGGAGTGATTGGATGGCGGGGAGGGCGCTTGTCTTGCATGCAGCTGACCCGGGCGGATCTGATCTCTGGCATCCCATATGGTCCCCTGAGCACGTCCAGAAGTAATTCCTGAGCGCAGTGCCAGGAGTAGCCCCTGAGCATCGCTGAATGTGTCCCCAAACCCAAACCTAAACCCAAACCATATACCTCACTGTCACACACGACAGAAGTTTCTCTGAACCAGGGCCACTTCCAGCAGTGCTGGGGATGCCCAGCGCTCTGCCCACGGGCCATGGGGGCTGTGCCAGGCAAGTTCAGGAGACCACAGGTACCAGGGAAAGGACTCGGAACTAGCACACGCCCAGTGTGCCTGGCTGTGTGCACGCCTCAGAGGCCATGCACTCTTACAGAGTGGACACTGGCAGAGGGGATCCTGTGGCCACGGTGTTGGGACCCCAAACAGCAGCGGGGCTGTGTTCAGGACTGTGGCAGGTGTGACATCCCGTGGGCACCCCGGGATGGCCCTCCGTGTTAACTGCCGTGGACACTGCTCCTGGTGGCACTGGGCTCAGATACCTGGGCCGGAATCACCTGCCACTATCGTGATGGCCCAAGTTCCTGGACAGAGAAGGGCCAGAAGCCTCACGAAGGACTCCCCAGAGCTGAGCACACCCCTGCCGGCCCCCCAATTCCCCTCCAGTCTAGAGGGTCCGGCCCAGCTTTCTTTTCTCTGTTAAAACATAATTTCTGGGGGCCGGAGGGGCAGCCGGCAGCAGGTGAATCATAGTTTGACCCGACCTGAAAGTGCCATCAGCGGTCTGAAGGGGTTTCCCAGCTTGGCACCCCTTGGGGTGGGCTGGGGAATAGGCAGTGGCCGAGCTGTGGGATGAGAAGGTGGCCCGTGGCAGGGGGCCAGGGGGTCACCGTCTACAGGGGGTGCTGGGTGGGAGCAGATGCCGGGGCTCTCCGACAGAGGTGTTTGACTCTTCGGGGTGGGGGGAATGGGGGAGTGGGGCCCACACCTGGCAGTGCTCAGGGTTTACTCCTGGTGGGCTTGGGGGACCACGTGGGGCGCTGGGGATCACACCCGGGCCAGCCTGGCGCAAGGCTGGAGAGAATCACTCAGGAATCACTCCTGGCCATGCTCAGGGGACCACCTGGGATGCTGGGGACCAAACCCGGGCCAGTCTGGTACAAGGCTGGAGAGTCGGGACCTGCTGTACCGTCTCTCCAGCCCCAGTGGGTGTTTTTTGGGGCAGTACCGGGGGATGGAGTCCCAGCCTCACCCACACCAGCCTGAGCTGTGCCACCAAGCCACATGGCTGGCCCTGGTTAACATCTTAGCTAGAGCCATGTTGAGAAGGACTTTGCAAAACATCTAACTCCAACCTTCACACCCTGACCAACTTCCCCAAAGGGGACCCGGGGTCAGATGTCAGCCCCCACCCCCAGGAGCAGGGGCACATTGGATGGTGCTTCAATCACCTGAGGGGTCAGTGCTCTTGGCCCTCCCCTCTTTCTGGAGGGTTCTGCAGATGCTCTAGGAAACAAAAAGAAGTTTGCAGATGCTAAGGACTCAAAAGAGGAAAAGAATGAATCTTCCTCCATGGCAGACAATATTCCCCATACTTTCTCTCTACTTTCGGGCATTATGGTTTGCAATGCAGATACTGAGAGGTTATCATGCTTGCTCCTTTATCTACGTTCAGCACAAATCTCCCATCCCGACCGACTCCTCCAATCTTCATTTTCTTAGTGGGAGGGTGGGAAAGGGGGGTATACTGGGGATGTTGGTAGTGGGGAATGTGCACTGATGGAGGGATGGGTGTTTGATCATTGTGTGATTCTAATGCAAACGTGAAAGCTTGTAACTGTATCTCATGGTGATTCAATAAGATAAACTCATGATCACGATCACGATCATCCTGTTGTTCGTCGATTTCCTCGAGCAGGCGCCAGTAACGTCTCCTTCTTCCTAGCCCTGAGATTTTAAAAGAGCCATTTCAATGCGCTTTCAGGATTAGGAGAATGAGACCCATCATTGTTACTGGTATTTGGCATATTGAGTACGACACGGGAAGTTTGCCAGACTCTGCCGTGTGGGCAGGATACTTTTGGTAGCTAAATTAGAAAGAAAAAAAAAAAAGAATAGGGGCTGGAGCAATAGCACAGTGGGTAAGGCGTTTGCCTTGCACATGGCCGACCCGGGTTCGATCCCCAGCATCCCATATGGTCCCCTGAGCACCGCCAAGGGTAATTCCTGAGTGCAGAGCCAGGGGTAATCCCTGGGTATCGCCAGGTGTGACCCACCCCCCCCTCAAAAAAAAAGAATGAATCTTTCTGTTGGGCCTAAAGAAAGTTGTTCTACTTAGGTGATTAAAAAAAAAAAGTAGCTTGTGGCACCTGGAGCATTTATAGTGTTTGCCTTGCGTGTGACCAACACGGATTTGATCCCTGGCATCCCATATGGTCCTCCGAGCCAGGAGTAATCCCTGAGCATTTCTGGTGTGGCCAAAAAAAAAAAAAAATGCAAGCAGCCCGTGCTCTTTTGCAGATGGAGAACGTGGGCATGAACGGGGTGAGAAACGCGGGCGTCCGGGCTGGGCGTTGGGCGGGTGGAGCTGGTGGCGGTCCCCGCCGAGAGGCCATGTGGCGGCCAGAGTGAAAAGCCGGCGGACTGTTGAGGCGCGGCCAGGGAGGCCTGGGAAAGGGAGCAGCGCCCGGCGGGCGGCTGAATGGCTGTTTGTATCCGCCTGGGAAGGCACCGACCTGGGCCGTGCAGATAGCGGGGCCCCCGTGCCAAGGAGAGGAAGGGGCACCGCTGAAGGGGCTTTCAAAAGCCCAGCTCGGGAGATTTGTGGGCACCTTTCAGACGAGAAGAAAGAGGGAGTCATGTGTGGTGGGGCGCCCACGGACGGCCCCTGAATCACAACGAACCAAGAAACAACGCGGCTGAGGCACTCAGAAGGGGCTCCGGGCCGGCCAAACCAGGAGCGGCAGGAACTGGCAGAAACACTGAACAGCGAGGCCGAACGAGACGCTCAGGGACGCTCAGGGACGCTCAGGGACGTGGGCGGCCACCACCGGCCCTCGATGCTTCCCTTAGGAGCCAGCAGCAAGCCCAGGGTACGGGGAGGGGCACCCGAGGCTCCCTCTTTGCATTTCAAAGCCTCAGGATGCTCTCCAGCGGGCGGGGCCAGACTCATCCATCAGGTTTTCCAGGTTCTGGGCCCCAGCGGGGCGGGGATTTTCCTACTTCAGGAGCTTCCTGGCCAGAAAAGGTGAATCAGCCGAGTGCAGAGAGGCAGGCCCGACGGCAAACGGCAAACGGAAGGGCCGCGCAACGGTGTGCATGGAAGAGAACCTCAGATCACGAGTGAGGGAAAGACACGCGATGGGGCCGGGGCAAGAGCAGTGCAGGCAGGCGCGGGCCCTGCAGGTGCTGGCCCCAGGTTTGATCCCCCGCGCCTCATAGGGTCCCCTGAAACCCTCCAGGAGTGATCCCTAAGTACAGAGCCAGGAGTAATCCCTGAGCACTGCTGGGCCAGGAGGGAGAGAGCAAGAGAGTGAGAGAGAGAGAGAGAGAGAGAGAGAGAGAGAGAGAGAGAGAGAGAGGAAAGAGCGAGAGTGAAGGGGGGGCAATACTGGAACAGTTCCAAGACAGCCAAGCTCAGGCCCCACCCATCCGGGTGTGGCCACAACAAAAAGGGGGAAAATCCCTTTAACAAGGCAGCAACCCATCAGCAACCCATGATGGGTCTCATTCTCCTAACCCTGAAAGAGCCTTGAATACGGCACTTCAAATTCTCAGGGCTAGGATGAAGGAGACGTTACTGGGGCCTGCTAGAGGCAATGACCAAAGATGATCATGATCGTGAAGGCAGCAACAGTATCAGAGGATGATACTGTTGCAGTTTAAAGTCGGAGGGTCAGAGCCACAGGACAGCAGCACACAGAGGCATGGTGAGGCTGGTCCCGTTCCCAGCACCGCAGGGTCCCCAGAGTCCTGCCAGGAGTAATGCCCGAGCACAGAGCCAGGAGCAAGCTTGGCGCACCACCCAGAGAGCCCCCCCCCCCCTCCAATGAAATAAAATAAACATTCAAGACTGGGCAGAGCCGTGGCTCCTGGGAGGCACAAGCCCCCCAAGTCCCCCCCCCCCCCCCGATCCCTGTACCACCAGCCAGGCACGGCCCAGGTGGCCCCTGAGTGTCAACCGCCACAGCAACGCTAGCTGGAACCCTCACAACACTCCAGGGTGAAACAAATACCACAAGGCAAAAAACAACACAAAACACAAACACTGAACTTGTGCTAGAATAGGAAATAGTCTGTTAATAGGAATTATTAGGAAATGACAATTAATACTGAAAAAAAAAAAGTACTGGCCGAAGGCGCCATTGAAAACAGAGTCCCACATCCCCTCTGTATATTTCTCTTAAAAACTTAACTTCTGGGGCCAGAGCAGGACCACAGCACCCAGGGCATTTGCCTTGCACGTGGGTGACCCAGGTTCAATCCGCGGCATTCCATATGGTCCCCCGGCCCCAGCAAGGAGTAACTCCTGAGTGCAGAGCCAGGAGTAACCCCTGAGCACTGATGGGTGTGGTTCAAAAACTCAATAACCAACCACCACCAACAAAAAACCCCAACAAAGCTCCCCCAGCCCCCCTTCCCCCTAAAAAACAATCCACCCCTCCAAAAAAAAAACCCTTAAGTTTTACTGATTAAATTTGCAGCATGGAAGATAGTTTTAGTGCCAGACAATATCATTTCATGTAACTCTTTCTTTAAGGCACACAGAAACAAGAATTCAGGTTCCATCTCCTAAGCCTTCCTGAGACCGCCTCTCGCTCTTACTCAGGCCAGCCTGGGTCTCTGCTGCCCCCTGGAGGTCGCGCGCATTTGCGTCCGGCTAAAAACGGGCGTCTCCTGCTGCCTTGTCCAGCAGCCAGGCCAGGGAGCAGGATCCTGGGCAAGCCACGACCCAGGACCACCCCCGAAACCCACAGCGGGACCGCGCGGGCACGACCACCCCTGCTGTTTCTGGCACACCCACGGGCAAACCCCCACGGAGACAGCCGAGGATTCTGGAGCTGCTCTGGGGCTGGGCCATCTGCTGCTGGCCCCTAAAAGGAGCCCCCAGAACGATTCATGCCTGCTCTTGAACCCAGAACCTCAGAGCACTGAGAGAGGAGCACACAGGACACATCGTGGTGACGGGCCTGGGGAAAGGGCATACGCGGTGACTGTGGGCGAGGTCGGGGCATTGGCACTGGCCCTGCCCAATCCTGTTCCCCCTAGAACGTTCTAGATCCACCCTGCCAGAACCTTCTCTTGTGGCCCCAGTGTGCCGGGGGGCAGTGACGGGGCTGAGTGCCGCCAACTGCCTTCCTGGCACTGTCACGTACCAGCGGCTACCAGGCGAATGTGGCCATGCCAGGGACCTGTGCCCTGAGCTGTGCTAACTGCTCCCCCCCACCCCCCGCTGGGGCCAGGAGTGCAGGCGGAATGCCCATGGTGCCCACTCACCGGTTTCTGCAGCCGGCCTGCCACGTACAAGTTGGTCCAGTTGAGGAGGTCGTCCATCAGGGCTGCTGTGCTGATCACCCCGTACTTGATCAGCTGCAGGGGGAGAAGGCGCGTGTCACGGAACAGGGCAGGGAGCCCCCTCCTGGGTGCTTCAGAATCCGCCCTGCAAACTACACCTGCACCCTGCCCTGTGGCGGCTCTAGCCAGGGGCTGCTGGCTGGCACCCTGTTCTCAGCTGCGGGGCAGCACCGCACTTTGGGGAAGGCTACGAATGGGACCTTCAGCTGGGCGCCTCCTTTAGGCTATTACTCAGAGAACACGTGTGCGTATGCACGAGTGTGCACAAATGTGTAGGTGTGTGTGTGTGTTTGAGTGTGTGTTGTGTGAGTGTGGGGGTGGGTGTATGCGTGTGCATGTGTGTATGCGTTTGGGTGAGTGTGTGTGTGTGGGTGTGTGAATGTGAGTATGGGTGTGTGAGTGTGTGTGGGTGTGTATGGCGTGAGTGTGTGTGTGTGTGTGTGTGTGTGTATGTGTGCGTGCGCGCGCATTTCTCTCAAGCAGCAGCCTGCCAAATCTTTTGCAAATTGTATTTCTTGAAAAGTTTCGCCAACAGCTCTTAGCCAGCGGATCTGTTTTGCCATTTTGAACCCTTTTATCATTCCAAGGCAGCATTCACCAAGCAAAGCTCTTCACCAGCACAGGGAGTGGCAGTCCAGCAGGGGGGTTTACAGGGGCCCCTGACCGTTGCAGCCCCAGGTGACACAATGCAGTGGCATCAGTAACCGTGCACAGACACACTCTGCTGGATGTCACCAGCCAGACAGCCTGCTCAGGAAGAGATAATCGAAAACGATGCGAGAAGTCGCAGCTGCAGAATTTCAACTTTAAAAAGCCCCCGGGCCCTCGGGGGGGGGGGGGGAGGGGGGAAGGGTGTTGTCCCTTCCGCCTTTTTCCCTCTGGAAAGAAAGATGGCAGCTGCCTCGGAGCTTTATGGAAAGCCAGGTATGAGCTGGTCGTGATGGGGCGACTGAAACCTCATGGGAAGGGGGGCGTTCCCAGCTCATCCTTCACGCCCTACCGAGGTCATGAGTTGCCCCCCACGAGCGGCTCTCTGGCACGGCCATGGCTCCAGAGCCACAGAAACCAATCTCATAATTATCTGACTCTCAGCAGAAATACTTCCAGGCTTAATAAGTAAAATATCGGAAATCCAAAATCGCGTGGCCACCATTGCGGCCACACGACATCATTTGATTCTTGTAACCAGCTGTAGAAAACAAATTATTTCACAATGCCTTTTTAGCATGTCTGATTGGGGGGGGGTAAACTCTAAATAATAATGGTGCATCTTTCATCAAAACAATGAGTCTAATCAAAGTACAGTGTTAACTAGAATCCATCTGCCTCACAGGCATTGGGAGGGTTGGGGGGGTGGTTATTGGGGTTCTTGGTGGTGAAAAATAAGTATTGGTGAAGGGGAAATGTGTTTGATAACTGCATGACCGAGACTTAAACCTGAAAGCTTTCAATAAATTAAAAAAAAAAAAAAAGCAACACCAGGTCCTTTGGCATCCAGCGGGGTCCAAACTTTTGGCTACTGGAGCCGGCAGCACTGGTGGGAAGCATTTGGAGCTGCAGCAGCTGTGCTCTGGGAGGGCGCCCGAGGCCGTGTCTGTGGTCCTCCTGGCTCTGGCCACAGCACCAGCCCGTGGCTTCATGCCCTCAGGGACATCACCGCCTCGGTCTGTCTCACAGTCATTTTGTCTGTCTTAGGGCCACACCCAGCGGTGCCCAGGGCTTACTCCTGGCAGTGCTCGGGGATCACTCCTGGTGGGCGGTGTGCGGAGTGAGGTGGCGTTGGCCCGGGGACCTTCCCTGCCTCAGCTGATGTTCCCGTGACGGGGCTGTACCCATGACTGGCAGTGGCTGAGGGAGTGTCAAGCATCTGTCTGAGTGAGGGTCTGCACCCTGGCCCAGCCGCCCTCCGTCAGCTTCAGGGGCTCACACGTACTCTGGGAGCAGCAGGGGTGCAATTGCACGGCAGCCTGAGCCACCCCGCCCCTGGACTTGGTTTTTTTGCTTTTTGGGTCACACCCAGCGATGCACAGGGGTTCCTTCTGGCCCTTTGCTCAGGAATTACTCCTGGCGGTGCTTGGGGGACCATATGGGATGCTGGGAATCGAACCCGGGTCGGCTGCGTGCAAGGTAAACGCCCTACCCGCTGTGCTATTGCTCCAGCCCCAAAGGACTTGGTTCTTTTTCAAGAGATCTTATTTGTCCGTTGGAAAAACATCAGGACTCATTGGTCCCATTTCCTGTGCTCCATCCTGTGGTATTTCATGGCTTTTATGGAACAGGCTCGTTTCATCTAAGCCTAATTTCTGGTCAGAGCAGTTCCTTCCCATTCTTCTTAGTGACATCTTCAATTTCTTTATTCGGGGGCATAAGGGTCATGCCGCGGGTAGTGCTCAGGGGTCACTCCTGGCAGTGTTTGGGTGACCATGTGGGGTGCAAGACACTGAACCAGGGTCACAAAGATGCAACTTGTGGGCGGGAGAGATACTCACAATATGCACAGCAGGGAGGGCGTTTGCCTTGCATGCAGCAGACCTGGGTTCGATCCCCGGCATCCCATAAGGTCCCTGAGTCCCACCAGGAGTAATTCCTGAGCACAGAGCCAGGAATAACTTCTGAGCATTGCCAGCTATTGTGGCCCAACACCAAAAACAAAAACAAAATCAGCGACTTGTTAGAGGGTTGTCGATTTTACTGACTTTTTAGAAATCCTTTGACTTCAGATCTTTCTCTTTTTCCCCCAATGTTACTGATTTCTGCTTTTATACTTTCTATTCCTTTTTCCCCCCTGCTTCATTAGAACTTTTTGTGCTCTTATCTAGGTTCCATAAGATTGATTTGAAATATTTTATTTAAAAAATATAAACATTGGGGCTGGAGAGATAGCACAGCAGGTAGGGCATTTGCCTTGCACGCGGCCGACCCAGGTTCGATTCCCAACATCCCTGATGGTCCCCTGAGCACCGCCAAGGGTAATTCCTGAGTGCAGAGCCAGGAGTAACTCCTATGCATTGCTGGGTATGACTCAAAATGAAAACAAACAAAAAACCCCCAACATTTAGGGCCAGGGAGAGAGAGTTCACTGGCTGGGGTGAGTTCCACATGTGGGAGTCCCAGGTTTGGTGCCCAGAACTCACATGGTCCCCTGGTCCTGAGCTGAGGGCCTTCAAGCAATCACCACTGGGTGTGGGTCAACCATTCAAACAAAAATTATTCTCCACTAAGTGGCTTCTCATTTTGGACAATTTCCCCCTTCTTTATCCACTAAGTGGATCATTTCTGGATACTGAAAGTTTCTGTGACATGTTTTCTGTTACTACTGTTTAATTCTACCATGATCAGAAGAGGTAAAGGTAAGGTAAAGGCCCTCCCGTTGATCGTCGATTTGCTCGAGCGGGCCCAGTAACGTCTCCATTGGAGACTTTGTTGTTACTGTGTCTGGCATATCAAATACTCTCGGTAGCTTGCCGGGCTCTCCGAGAGGGGCGGAGGAATCGAACTCGGGTCGGCCATGTTGGATCAGAAGAGATTTTCCTAAAAATGCGGATCCTTTCTGCCAAGAGAGCAGACACCGAGAGTCCTCATGAGAAGAAAGATCTGAACTGTGGGGACGGAGGGTCACGATACCACGGCCGCCATCTCACAATACAGTGGCTTCTTGTCAAAAAGCCACATGTTGGGGCCAGAGCGATAGCACAGTGGGTAGGGCATTTGCCTTGTACACAGCCAACCCGGATTTGATCCCCATCATCTCATATGGCTCCCTGAGTTACTTGCCAGGAGTAACTGCTGAGTGCAGAGCCAGGAGTAACCCCTAAGCATCACTGGGTGTGACCCCCCCAAAATGCAAAAATAAATAAATAAATATATAAAAATAAATAATAAAAATAAAAGCCATGTGTTGCCTCGGTCCATCCACAGCGGCTGTGGCTTCATTCATCTCAAAAGCAGAGACCCCCAAGCCCATCCCAGCCTGACTGAGTGGAGACTCGAGGAGGACCCAGACATCTGTCTAACAGGCAATTTTGTTGTTCGGTTTGGTTTTCCTTGTCAGAGGGCACGGGCAACAGTGCTCAGGGCTGACTCCTGGCTCTGTGGCTCAAGGGTCACTCGTGGCATCACTCTGATGCGGTGCCAGAGATCAAACCCAGGCTGGGAGCGTGTCAGGTTAGGGTCCTGCCTGCTGTGCTGTTTCTCTGGTCCCTGCTCTAGTTCGATGCACAGGAAAAAACCGTCACGCGTGAAAACTAAACAGCATCTCTACCCCTCGGGACTTGCTGGGAGAACGCCCTGGGGCAGGTGTTTCGCCACCCCTGGGCAGACCGGGCAGCACTCACCCGCCCATCACACTTGACCAGCGTGTTGTAGTACACCCCCGCGCCGTAGTTGTTCTGGATGGCAGCAATCCTCTTGGGCCCCAGGGCTTTGAGGAAGGAGTAATGGCTCCAATTTTTCTCCAGGTTCTTCGAATGCCAGGCGAGAGGGTCGTCCACAGCGAACACGAAGTCGAGCATCGCATCCTGCCAGGAGGAGAGAACAGCTCAGCTTACCATCCCAAGTGGAGACAACTCTGCCACTCTGGACGGTTATGAACAAAACGTGAAGTCTGGAACCTGTAGAACCTGGTGCCCTGACACAGTTGGCGAGGACGTCCGTCTACGGTGTTGTCATGCCAGCCTGAGTCCTCACCCCTTAGGCACGTGCACGGTCACTGCTTTCCAGATTTGTATGAAGCCAAGCTGAGGGACAGGGAGTCTCTCTTTTTTTTCTTTTTGGGTCACACCTGGCGATGCACAGGGGTTATTCCTGGCTCTGCACTCAGGAATTACTCCTGCAGTGCTTGGGGGACCATATGGGATGCTGGGAAATGAACCAGGGTCAGCTGTGTGCAAGGCAAATGCCCTACCTGCTGTGCTATCACTCCAGCCCCGGGACAGGAAGTCTCTTGCCACAGACCCAGCAGGGGCAGACACCAGCGCTTCCTGCAAGATGTGCCCATCCCGATGTGATCATCACTCCATGACCGCACCAGCTTCCTGACCTGGGCCGGGTTCCTCCCACGGCCCCCTGTTCTTATGCCACAGTTCCCTACACTTAAGCAATTTTTATCTGTGTCCCCCTTAGAACATCTTGGGAGGTGTGGGGGAGGGTCCCGAGGCCCCCAGCTGAGACAGGCTGGGCTACCCCATCTCTCAGCCAACTGGACTTTCCTTCTGGCTTGGGGACACACCTGGCACTGTCAGGAGCCACTGCCCACTCCATTATCGGGGTTCGCTCCTGGCGGTGCTTGGGGGACCCTGCAGAGCTGGAGACTGACCCCAGGTCTCAGGGCACTGAGCTCTCTCCAGATCAACCACCAGCCCCTTGTGAGCCCCTCAGGGAGCTGTCACTCAATGGGCGTGAGAGGAGAGTGGGAGAGTGCCACTGAGAGCCAGGAGACACATTCCCATAAACTTCCTTTTTTCCTCGCGCCAAGGATGTGACTCTTGGTAGAGCACCTGCCCCTGTGTTAGATGCTGGCACCCCAAAAATAAATCAGCTCTTAAAAAGTTGCATTCTCCTAAAAATCTGATGAATCTCAGTCTTGGACAATGTTGGGAGGGTTGAGAAGTAGGCCGGAGATCAGAGGAAAACCTGCCAGCAGCAAGTGAACTTCCAGGGGAGGGGTTACTGCCCTGGGTGAAATGTGGGGGGCACAGGCCGGGAGAGAGGTGAGGTCAGACAAGGCTGCGGGTTCCTGCTGAGAGCCCCATGGACGCCAAGGACCAAATCCCAGGGGAGAAACGAGAGCTGTGAGCTCAGGGGCTGATCTGATGGGGCGAAGGTTAACTGGTGAGGAACACAGGAAGTGTTAGCTGGTGAGGGACACGGGAGGGACGGGAAAGGGGGAACCCCAGCTGGCCGCAGGGTCTGCTTCCCACCAACTGGGAATACAAAGATCTAGGGAGGGGGGCGTTTCTTTATTCTTTTTTTTTCTCTTTTAACATTCAAGGATGTTAGAAAAAAAATAGTCCACAATAAACTCACTTCTCCTGCACCTATCATCTCTGATTTCTCACAGGTCAACAGGGCAAGGATCACTAAATATTGGTATACTGAGAGGAACCAGAAAGCAGAGTCGGGCGGTGTCTGGGCTTCACCAGGAAGTGACAGGCAAACTGGAACCCAGGGCACATTGCAAGCCTGGACCCAGCTCCCAGGGTCCAGGAGGTCCCGCGGCCAGGGCCACTCAATTCCTTCTTTCCCTAAAAGTGACCAAGAGCCATGGGGCCCTGGGGGACCTCCAGCAGGTGAAAACCCACCTCCCGGCCTGAGCTGTGCAAAGACAGGTGCTCATCCGACCCTTGCTCCCGTTTCTCAGAGCCCCGGATCACTCCTGCTGGGGCTTGGGGGACAGTAACCGGGGCTGGGCCTGGAACCTGGGTCAGCAGCGTGCAAGGCAAGAGCCCTCCCGTTGGAGGACACCTTCACCCCCTCTTCTTAGTAAGTCGGAAAGCAAAGTCTAACCCCCCCACCCTCCAGCAAAGAGACCCCCGTCTCACCCGTTTGCTGGGGAGCAAACCTTGTTCCCTTTAGTTGACCAGCCGGGAAAAGAGGACAGCGGCGGGGGTGGCACGCCGTCTCCTGCCCAGCTCTGCGGACACGCGGACACTGGCGGGCTCCCGCTCGCCGGCTACTGGACCACGGGAGGGTCCCCTCTCTGCGTGTCCAGCTCGGCCGTGCATGGGTCACCTGCAGCCCAGAGCAGCGTCCCCTGCAGGGGGCTCAAGCCGGACTCCGGGGTCCTCCCCTACGCTGCCCGCACTGCTCGGCCCCGGCACGCCCCTGCTGCCCGCCCCGTGCCCCCTGGACACGCTCCCCGGGGGTCAGCGCGCGGGGCCGGCCTCACCTTCTGGTTGGAGCTGGGCCCCGCCTGGCGGAACACCCCCGAGCCGTAGGCGAAGGCCAGGCTCAGCTCCTCGGGGAAGTGGGCGAGGATCCTGCGGAAGGCCACCCCCGAGCTGGGCAGCGCCTGCAGCGCCATGGGCCCGGCGGCGCGGGCCGGGGGCACTGGCCGGCCCTGCCCAGCCGCGCACGCCTACCCCGGCCCCGCCCCGCGCGCGCACTGCGCCTGCGCCTTCCCCAGAGGACGCCCCGCCCCGCGCGGACTGCGCCTGCGCCTGTCAAGAGGACGCTCCGCCTCGTGCGCGCTGCGCCTGCTCCTTCCAAGAGGCTGCCCCGCCCCGCGCGCGGCGGCCGCGAAAGCTCTGCGGCGACCTCCGGCGGTGGGAGGAGCGCACTGCAGCCTGGCCCGGCGGGTGCCGCCGCCGGATGGCACGCGTGAGCTGCAGGACCGATCGCCTGCAAAGCACCTTCTCTTAAAGAACCTGCAAACCGCCCGTGGGGCTTGCAGATGGTTTGAATGAGTTGGTATTTGCATCGCCTAGCGCTGTGCACTTGTGAAATCCAGGGCCAATTAGTACCTGCGGGTGCCACGTGACCCTTCCTTCCTACCCAGCTGGAACTGCAGATTTAGTAATTTTGGGGTCACACCCAGGGAATCTCAAGGTTTACTCCTGGCTCTGCACTCAGGGATCACTCCTGGAGGTACTCGGAGGACCATATGGAATGCTGGGGATTGAACCCGAGTCAGCCGCGTGCAAGGCAAATACTACCTGCTGTACTATACAGTTCCCTGGAACTGCAGATTTTGAAGGGTTAAAAGAACACACAGAGTGACTGGAGCAATAGCACAGCAGGCAGGCCGTTTGCCTTGCACGTGGCCGACCCGGGTTCGATTCCCAGCATTCCAGTCACCCCCCCCAACCTCCCCAGCACTGCCAGGAGTGATTCCTGAGTGCAGAGCCAGGAGTAACACCTGAGCATCGCTGGGTGCGACCCAAAAAAGCAAAAATAAAATAAAATAAAAAGAACACACGGAGAGAAGCAGGCCTGTGCTGCTCTCTGCAGGGATCACACCTGGCGGTGCTTGGGGGAGCATAGGCAGTGCCTGAGATCAAATAGGGCTTGGCTGCCAGCAAAGTAAGTGCCCTAGCCACTCTCCTATCTCTCCAGCCCAAGACGCACTCTTAAAAGGTAAAGGTAAAGGCCCTCCCGTTGTTCGTCGATTTGCTCAAGCGGGCCCAGTAACGTCTCCATTGGAGACTTTGTTGTTACTGTGTCTGGCATATTGAATACTCTCGGTAGCTTGCCGGGCTCTCCGAGAGGGGCGGAGGAATCGAACTCGGGTCGGCCATGTTGGCTGCGTGCAAGGCAAACGCCCTACCGCTGTGCTATCGCTCCAGCCCTCTTAAAAAAAATACCAATTTAAATGTTTGATCATAAGAACAGAGGCCCTGAAAAGAGAAGCAACCCTAGTGTACAAGAACCCAAGTAGCCAAGGACGGATGAATAAGGAAACTGACAGCCTGGCCAGTTTCTGTCAGTGGCTAAAGAAACTGGCAGATTTAGATGGTGGAATTGTGCTTGCCTTTAAGACAAGATGAAGTGGTGCAATTTGCTGCTACGTGGATGTATCTGGAGAGTATCAGGCTGCGTGAATCACTCAGAAGGAGACAGGCAGACGCAGAATCTCTCAGACTCAGATGTAAAAACCACAGCAGGGAAATAATCAATGTCCTAAGGCAACAGAGACAGAACTAGCTTTGGAAGGAAGCTCGCTGTGGGGGTGGCGGGGGCCATCTCTCCCTCCCTCTCTCTCCCTTCTTTCTTTTCCTCCCTTTCTCCCTCCTACTCTCTCTTCTTCCCTCTCTCTCTGTACTACTCTCTCCATCTCCCCACCCTCTGTCTGTCTGTCTGTCTGTCTCTCTCTGTCTCTGTCTCTCTGTCTCTCTTTTGTGTGCGTGTGCAGACCTCATGCTCTCTGGACTCTCTCCTCTCTCCCCATATCATGTAGGCACACAGACACGGGGCCCAGTGCAGGCGGCCACTCAGGGCCGCTCAGGGGCAGGATACAGGCAGGGCTCAGACGCCCAGGTAGTGACAAGGCACCGGGCACAGGAGTCTCACCCACGTGCATGTGGCCGGAGACTGGGAAAGCCAGGACAGGACGATGGGAACTGCTGGGGTAGAGCTGGGAGGCCCAGGGACAGGTCCAGAGCACAGGGATGTCACCCATGCACATGTGCTGGGGAGCCTGGGACAAGTACACAGGACAGAGAGTGGCGCAGGGACAGGACCTGGCCGCCATTCACGGGAGGCAAGGAGACCGCGTGGGACAAGACAGGGAAGGCATTCACAGGGCTGGGCAGTGACAGGACTGGTGATACTCACAGGTAAAGGGGAGGCCTGGACAACTGAGGAGGGACCGGACCCACCGACCTTTTCTGTACAATAATCTAACTTTCAGTCTTCCAAGTTTCGTCTGCAAATCTTTCATACAATTCTCAAGATCTCACCCGCACAGGAAAATCTGCTTTCGCGCTAACAGTGAGACTTGAGCCCCGTCGGTTGTGGCCCCAGAACCAAAACATAAGATCAAAGTAATGTTGGTGGGCCCCACTGGTGGCTCGTATGAGTGGGGAGGAGAAAGACGGTCACTTTCTCCCGATCCGGGCTTGTCTCACCTTGCGGAAATGAATTTCAGGAGTAGACAGGCAGTGAAGTAAAACAGTTTTTATTTGGAAGTTTTGAAGGGAAGGAGGGAGAGAGAGTGGGAGAGAGAGTGGAAAGTAACGTGCTCAAGAGAGAACCCGGCTTCTCCAAGGGCAGAGAGAGCCCTACACACATCCCAACATTAGACAGGAAAGCACGAAAGCACACGTCTCAAGAGGGGAGATGCGGGCGATACATGTGCTCACGCGACACACATGCTTAGGTACCACATGGGCTCCGGCAGCATATGTGCACCCTCACTTCGTCCAAGGTGAGGACAAAGGGTTTATAGGGTTTCTCCAACCTTGTGGGACTTCTACCTAGGTCAAAGTCCGTTGCTAAGGAGGTTACCAGGGGGGTTGGAAGAGGTGATGGTCTTCAAAATTCCTTTTCTGGCCTTTTGTTTCCGTAGGAGTTTCTCTGGGTCTGTTGCTATAGATGGGTGAGGGTTTTATCAGGCCTTAGTTCCTGGTTTTTCCTGTTTTCTGCAACAGCTTGTGCCTTTGCCTTGGAAGGCGCCTTCCCTATACTGCCTACACCGAAAGGAGAAGTTCGCCCTGGGGGAGAGGGGGAGTTGGGATTTGAACCCTTCAGGATGCCCAGGACACGCCAGCTTTCTCAGGAGCTTCTGACTGGGGCAAGAGAAGGACGGTGGCACCAAGAGAAGGATGGTGGAACTGATGTCAGCGGGCCCCACGGGTGACTCATGTGAAGCGGGGTGGAGAAAGACCGTCACTTTCTCCCCAACTGCCTCTGCCACCCGGGACCCAGGGCTACTGGGTTCTTGTCTTGCCTCACAGGAAGGAATTTCAGGAGGAGACAAGCAGTGAAATAAATAGATTTTATTTGGAGGGGTTTTTAAGGTGTGGAGGGGGAGAGAGAGAGAGAGAGAGAGAGAGAGAGAGAGAGAGAGAGAGAGAGAGAGACTCAAGAGAGAATGGGCACTGGTGGAGGGATAGGTGTTCGGTCATTGTATAACTGAAACCCAAGCACAATTTTTTTTTAACAGAATATTTATTTATTTATTTATTTATTTCTGTGCTTTTTGGGCCACACCCAGTGATGCACAGGAGCTACTCCTGGCTCTGCACTCAGGAATCACCCCTGGCGGTGCTTGGGGGACCATATGGGATGCTGGGAATCGAACCCGGGTCGGCCATGTGCAAGGCAAACGTCCTACCCGCTGTGCCATCTCTCCAGCCCCAAGCACAAAATTTTTTAAGTCTACAACTGTACCTCATGGTGTTTTACTAATCAAAACTTAAAAAAATAAATAAAGTGCGATGGAAACCTGAAAAATAAAAATAAATAAAGAAAGAAAGAAAGAGAGAGAGAGAACACGGGCTTCTCCAGGGGCAGAGAGAGCCTCTACACACATCCTAGCGTTAGAATTAGACACGAAAGCATGAAAGTACACATCTCAAGAGGGGAGATGTGAGCGACACATGTGCTCGGCCACGTGGGAGCTAGCAGCACACTGGTTCCGGCAGCAGATGCGCGCCCTTCCTTTGTTCAAGGTGTCTTTTATATGCTCTTCTCAGGTTGTCTTGGTCCGGAAGTTCTGGAGTCTTCTCAGGGCTGGATCACACGTTAATCAGATTAAGGGAGAGGTCCTCAGAGGGTTTGAGGAACTTCATCGGGGAGGAGTCCAACCTCCTCAGAGCCTGCTGAAGCTTTTATCAGCTTTGTTTTCCGTATCCATCGAGTGGATCAGTCTTAGGATTTTCCTCCCGGAAGTTCTGTTGACCTAAGTTTCATTGCCAAGGGCCTTTCCCTATCTACCTGCCGACGTCAGAACCAGCAGTCTGGGGAACAACAGCAAAGCCCAGGGGAGAACGAGGCGGCCAGAAGTGTAGCAGTGGGAGAAAGAGCTCCGAGCAAACCTTTCACCCAGTGTTTCTAGCTTCTTTCTTCCCTTGAGGACAAAATTCAACTTTGCGTTGCTTTTTCCGTCTCTGTGCAAAAGTAATCCAGATCCATAAAAGATATGAGCATTAAGAAATACTTACACCAGTGAGAGCCACTAATAATTTGTGTTACTCTGGGTGTGACGCATTTCTCCCTCCCCATTTGAAAAAGGCCACTGTAGGATGGGCTCTATTGCAATTTCCTTTTGTCACTGTTCTTCGCTTTGGGGACCAGGCTGTAGTCTTCAGGCCTGATTCCTGCTCTGCACCTAGGGCTGGAGTGCTCACCATCAATGTGGTTGGAGGGAGGGAGGGGTTCAAGCCCAGTTGCTCGTTTGCAAAGCAAGTGTCCTACCCACTGTCCTGTCTTTCCAGTCCTGCAATTCACTGCTTTTCACGTTATATAACAGGGACAGGCTGGAGCGATAGCACAGCAGGTAGGGCGTTTGCCTTGCACGCGGCCAACCCAGGTTCGATTCCTCCGCCCCTCTCGGAGAGCCTGGAAAGCTACCGAGAGTATCTGGCCCGCACAGCAGAGCATGGCAAGCTCCCCATGGAGTAGTCAATATGCCAAAAACAGTAAGA